GAATAGAATAGAATAGAATAGAATAGAATAGAATAGAATAGAATTCTTTATTGGCCAAGTATGATTGGACACACAAGGAACTTGTCTTTGGTGCAAATGCTCTCAGTGTACATAAAAGAAAAGATAAATTCATCAAGAGTCGAGAATCATCAGCTACAACACTTAGTAATAGTCATAGGGTACAATAGAGTGGAGTGGAGTGGAGTGGAGTGGAGTGGAGTGGAGTGAAGTGGAGTGGAGTGGAGTGGAGTGGAATAGAATAGAATAGAATAGAATAGAATAGAATAGAATAGAATAGAATAGAATAGAATAGAATAGAATAGAATTCTTTATTGGCCAAGTGTGATTGGGCACACAAGGAATTTGTCTTGGTGAAAATGTTCTCAGAGTACATAAAAAGAAAAGATACCTTCATCAAGAGTCATCAGGTACAACACTTAATGATCGTCATTGGGTAAAATGAGCAATCAAATCATACTAGGAAACAGCCAGTATAAATTGTAAGGCTATAAACGACAAAGCTACCGTCATACAGTCACAAGTGGGAAGGGATAGGTGATAAGGAGTGATGAGAAGATTAATAGTAATAGTAGTGCAAACTTTGTAAATAGTTGGAGAGCGTTGAGGGAATTATTTGTTTAGCAGAGTGATGGCATTTGGGAAAAAACTGTCCTTGTGTCTAGTTGTTCTGGTGTGCAGGGCTCTATAGCGTCGTTTTGAGGAAAGGAGTTGAAATAGTTTGTGTCTGGGATGTGAGGGGTGTGTAGATATTTTCACAGCCCTCTTTTTGACTCATGGTGCAGGATACAGGTCCTCCATGGAAGGCAGGTTGGTAGCCATTGTTTTTTCTGCAGTCCTAATTACCCTCTGGAGTCCGGGTCTGTCCTGTTGGGTTGCAGAGCGAAACCAGACAGTCATAGAGGTGCAGATGACAGACTCCATCCTTCCTCTGCAGAACTGGATCAGCAGCTCCTTGGGCAGTTTGAATGTTCTGAGTTGGCACAGAAAGAAAATTCCTGGTGCTTTTTTGATGATGTTTTTGATGCTAGGTATCCCTTTTAGGTCTTGTGATATAATAGAACATAGAAATTTGAAGATCTCTACTGCTGATACTGTGTTGTCTAGTATTGTAAGAAGTGGTAGCATGGAAGGTTTTCTTCTGAAGTCTACCACCATTTCTACAGTTTTGAGCCATTATCCTTATGTATTATTCAAAATATATCATCATCATCTTCTTCATTTAATGACCCCATAATTGCTTGCAGGGTGGAGTCTGGGCAACTGAGTGCTTTACTTGCCGGATGCCTTTCTTGTTACCAATGAGGAGTTATAGTCATCATGCCCAGAAAGAGACATATTTGCCTCTAGCTTGGATCGAACTCATAGCCTCCCGATTGTGAGGCGAGAGATTCACCTCTAGGCCACCACATCACTCCAGATTATTCAAAATCTGTACTTATGAATAAATATGCTGTGATATGCAGCAGCTTCCCCCATGATTTAAAGCTTTTCCTATATACTCAGAACAACCAGCATGATTAAAAACTATGACTGATAAGAATTTCCCCCTAAAATATTGGATAAAACATGAATATAGACACTGTTTCATCTGCAAATGGATTTATCTTTATTATCTCTCTTGAGCCCAAGGTATAAAGATAATTTCACGTTTTACAGGATTAGAAATAGTAGTGTTCTTTTCCTTAAATGCCTTTGTGGCAGGAATAAGAAAGAACTAGTATTCCAGATCCTGTGTTGTTCTCTGTTTCTTGGCAAAGCAAAATCTTTCAGGGGGAAAAAGGTATATTTACTTTTTCTAGATCTCTTTTAGATCATGCCAGTTTTAACCCAAGGTCAATTTGAAAGGAACACTAACAATGTAAATCCGATCTGCGTTCACTAGCTAGGCTATCGAATAATTTCTTCGCCAAATCCAAAGCCAAATGTACAATCTTGGCTTCTTTTGAGTGCCTTAGAAAGTTATGCTATAAGTAGAAGGAAATGGAATAGTTGCAAGGGGAAAAAAAATACAGCAGCAATCTTATTTTATCACTCTTATCTTCCGTAGCCATTTCTAAAAGCCTCAAAAATACAATTATTATATCAGGCAAAGCCTGTTCCTTAATAAGTGAATAATAAATCTTTACCTTGGAATTCTTGGCATAGTAAAGAGTTCGGCCCCGTAGTTTAAAGTAACGTCGTTTCCATCTCTGGAATGAGCTGGTTTGTTTCAAAAGCAGTCCTTCCCTTATACTGGTCTTAAAGAGAAAAAAGAGAAGAATATATTAAAATCCTACACATGCCAAAATGGTTATATATACCGTATAATTATTTTCTGTCTCTGCTGTTCTCCACAGATAATATTCTGAAGTGATGGCTTAATAATGTATTTAATTATAGCTGTTATAGCAATCTAGCAATTTGAACTATTTTTAATTCAGCTTTGGTTTTTCTGCTGTTTTAATAGTCTTAGGTGGGTTTTGGGTTTCTGGAATCGGGGGTGGAGGGTGTGCATTTATGTTGCCTATCAAATCCCTAATGAAAGGTTGAGATATATTTTTTTAGTACAAAGAGAATAAAAATTGCATAGCCTGAAAAAAAATAACTTTATTTAAGGGGAACAAAAAGGCAGAGGGTAGAGGGGGAGGAGGAAGAGAAGAAGAGGAGGAAGGGGAGAAGGAGGTAGAAGGAGATGAAGAAGAGGAAGAAGAAGAGAGGAGGGGAAGGAGGAGGAGGAGGAGGAGGGAGAAGAAGAAACAAAAGAAACAGAAGGAGGAAGAGAGAGAAAGAGGATGAGGGGGAAAAAAGGAAGAAGAGGAAAGAAGAAGAGGAGAAGGAGAAGGAAAAGAAACAGAAGGAGGAGGAGGAAAAGGAGAAGGAAAAGGAGAAGGAAAGGAAGAAAAGATGGGAAATGAAAGGAAGGAGGGAGGAGGAGGAAGGAGGAGGGAGAAAGAAGGAGAAGAGAAGAGATGAGAAGGAAAATTGCCTTGGTACAAGATGTTTTTCCACACTGAGCATCATCCATTTGTAAAGGAATAGAAGTGCAGCCAATTCCCACAAGATGGCGGAACTGATCAATAAACAAAGTTGAAGTTACTTAGAAGTTACACCCACTTCCCATTTTGGGTTATTTTGCCCATGTAAACACATGTAACCAACTCTATGTTGCCACTAAAGAAAATACAGCCCTATGTTATTTTCACATAAAATTGTGTAACATTATCCTTTTAACTTGTGCACAGAGTTGCAAACTCCGTAAAGTAGTCCTCTAATTGTTCTTTTGGAGCAAAAAGAATAAGGAAAGAGCAACTATTTTATAAAATTGTCTGTGAGAGACTCTTTCCCTGGAAATACGGTAAAAATTCCAGGTGAGAACTTTGACGAATAAACCAGAGTTGTTTTTTCCTGCCAACGTTAAAGCTTTTCACAGAAGGACCAAGTTTCAAATGTTCACTTTCATAGTCGAAGTTCCAGAAAAATATCCAAATATGGGTATTTGTAGGAGTGTTTTCTTCCCAGGGATACGAGATGTACACATCCAGTCTAAACTATTTAAAAAAAAAAAAACAATAATCCTTTTCCCTGGAATTTAAATTAAGCATTTCAAATTAAGTTTAATCCATAAAACAGAAAAACCGGATTGCTAATTTGGAAAAGGAAGATTGAGTCTTTTGGATTAATTAGCTGTTTGTTTCTCTTCAGCCTTAGCTCTTTCTTGGCCTCATGACAAGAACTTGCAAAATGTTTTGCTTCTCCCAGAGTTTTGAGCTGCTGCCTTTTCATTAAGTAATAAATAACCACTGCTGCGGAGTTCTCCTTCTGTATTTTTCTACATATTAATCTACTCCGATGCTGTCAAATTATGGACCGAATTCAGAGGGACACTAGTCATGCACAAATAAAAATAAGCTTAAACCTGATCCGAGGCATCGTATTTCAATCCTCCTAGCACCCAAGGACTGTGTATTATTCAAGGCACGATATACCAATAAAAGAAAATATTTGTAGCTCCGGGTTGAAATGAGGGGTCCTTGAGGCTCTCTGAGCTTGGTTGTTTTCTTGCAGATGTTTTATCGCCTGACTAGGTAACAGCATAGTAAGGAGTGGGATTTGTGGAATGAAGGAACAGGAGGAGGGGAAAGAGAAGAGAAGGAAAAAGCAAGGAGGAGGAGGAGGAGGAGGAAGAAGAAGAAGAAGAAGAAGAAGAAGAAGAAGAAGAAGAAGAAGA